ATGGGAATGCAAACTTTGCAATGCCTGTTAGACATGGATCTGTGGGTGTAGGGATCTGGTCGTCAGCAGGGTGGAGAGTCTGACCTTCTATCCAGCATAGCCCCCTCCCTGCCCATCCCGTGGACTCTGTCCTCTCACCTGGCTCTGACCGTCTGCCCAGTGGAATGGAAGCCGGCTGAGGATGGGGCATGGTAGATTCCCGAGTGCAGTATTTGGGGCCCAGGAAACATTTGTTGGGGAGCTCTGGCCTGAATATAACTCAAATGCTATAGATGGGTTCCTCCCAGCCCCCTGGGACAGCCAGCTGGTCATAGAGGGGGTCACAGGGAAGTGGAGGGGCCAAGTGCTGAGTCTTCTCTGTGACACCACCACGTCCCTGCTCTCCTAGGCTGTCAGAGGAACGAGGCTGGGTGGCATTATTCTAGAGTGAGTTCAGGAGGCGGGCTGCTTTCGGAGGAAGGCATTCCCATCACTCACACATCATCTCTCAGCCCCTGTCTCCTGACCCCCACTCACCAGAGAAAGAGGACACATGACTGTATTTCCTCTGCTGACAGCTCTTCAGCCCGTCTGTTGCAGCTTTGTCCGTGTAATCATCAAAATAGCTTTTGATAGTTCTAAAATAAGTCAGAGGTCACCAATAGGATTGCCAAGTCTTTGTAGTCCTCAACCTGATACCCCAAGGGGCCTTTTCTTAACTACAAAAATTCAAACATCCTCGGGAGTGAAGTCGAGCGACTGCCACCACAGATTGGAGTGCCCGTCATTTTGTCACTGTGGTGTGTCACCTTGACCCACCCTCACAGGTCTAACCATCCTTGCACCCGCCCCTTCTTAAATGTTCAGTGAGGGGTTGCACAGTCTCGAGGGAGCCTGCGGAGGAGGCCTTTAACCTGGGCTGGAGCTGATGCTCTGTGTAACTGGAGCCCCGGCTCTCCCTCATCACCAGTTTGCAAACACTGCTCACCTGTATCTTCCAAGACAAAATCTCAGATCCAGCGTCCTCCCCATGTGTAACAAGAACATTTGCACTCATGGGTTAATGCTGAGAAAGCTATGGGGCTTTTTAAATGCACATGATTCCATTTGATTTTTTTTCTCTAAGTACTTATTGGTTTGTGTGAGGCTTTTACCCTCCACATAGATAAGACAGACAGGTAATAAATCTGACAACTTTGAACTCTGAGTTTTTTTTTTTTTTTTTAAGATAGAGGAGTCTCACTCTGTCACCCTGGGTAGAGGGCCATGGCCTCATCACAGCTCACAGCAACCTCAAACTCCTGGGCTGAAACAGCCTCTTAACTCAGCCTCCCAAGTAGCTGGGACTACAGAGGTGTGTGCCATGACGCTTAGATAATTTTCCTATTCTTAGTAGAGACAGGGTCTCACTCTTGCTCAAGGCAGGTCTTATACTCCTGAGCTCAAGCAATCCACCCACCTCCAGAGTGCTAAGATTACAGGTGTGAGCCACTATGCCCATTTGAACTCTGAGAACTTAACACCACATTCTGAGCTAGGCCAGGAAGCTGGCAGGCACTGTGCTAAGATCTTTACAGCCATTATCTTATTTAATTTTCAAAAGTCCATGACTTTCTAACCAGAAGGTCTCACTGGTCCAGGTGTCTGACTCCTCCCCTTGGCCTTTCACTTCCCAAACCTCTTGAGGGTCTAGGGTCAGTGCCACCAGCCCAGCTCCTCACCTTGAATCTGGGACTTTCTGCCACACTGAAGCTTTCCTACAAGTTTCCAAGTGTGGGCGAGGCCACACTGTCCTCAGAGCCCAGCACCCCTGACCACACTACACTGAGCCCAGGCCCAGAGGTGCCACCTCCCTAGTAGCACCTCCTAATTTGCTGTTCAAACATACATATCATCGTAACATTCCAAGTAAAGCATTTCACTGAGCACAGATCAGCTCCAAACCAAATAAACCTCTCGTCTAAAAGTGCGCACGTCCCCTGTGACTCCATCCTGCACCGTCTCTTAAGGGAGTTACAATCAGACCTTACGTGGTTTCTTATGAACATAAATTTCCGCGTTGCTAACATCTGCTTTCCATTCATACGTGTTGGTGTCTCTGATTAAAGCATCATTTCAGAGCCAATTTCTCAGCATTGGTTGAACAGAAAGTTAAGAATCCAGTGCAGTGTGATAAAAACAAAGGGAACCGATCATTAATTTTAGACATAATTCTTTAAAGTCGTCAAGACCCGGAGAGACTGGCCCAGGACAGAAATGTTAGTAAAGCACAGGAGGACGGGGACAGGAAGGAGGA